GTTTGAGATCATAGGAGGATCAATACATGTCTCGTTTAAGTTTTATGGACAAATATTTGAGAAATTAAATGTTTGATGTGCATATGAGCATTAACGCTAAATTTGATGGTTTTGAAATACACATTGCAAAATCATGAGTTTAGACAATTGCTTTTGCTTAGAAAACTCTTGAAGAGTTTGATTACTGATGTCCATCAAATCTGTATAAATAATGATGAAGGTTTTTGTATACTAAAGATTGTCATCTGCTCAAATTATATGGAGTAGATTGAGGTAAAACAATTAATTGGTCCAAAATACTAATGTGTTATCCCTTTTTTTTTCCTTAGCCAAGTTTTTCCCAAAGGGTTTTCTTGGCCAAAGGTTTTAAGGTATTTTGGGGTTTTCAAAGAATGAGAAAGATTCATACCATCCAAAAGACTATCATCCTCTAGAAGAGTGATTCTAATATTACTTCGGAAGACAGTACCCTAAAGGTCTTAATTGGTCCTTGTGAGATCAAACAATTTATTGGTCCGGAAGACCATATGCAACTGTACTCTTTTTCCTTAACCAAGTTTTGTCTCATAGGGTTTTCTTGGTCAAAGGTTTTAACGAGGCAGTTTGTGACTTTGAAATAACATATTGTGATACATAAAATTCGGAGTATTGTTTTTCTCTAGAAGAGTAAATTCAAAAGCAATCCAGAAGATTAGGCCTCGAAGACCAATGACTGTACTCTTTTCCTTTACTAAGTTTTTCCCGCATGGTTTTCTTAGTTAAAGGTTTTTAATGATGTAGTCAATACAACACATCGTTTTACATATGTTATGTATTTTTCCTTGATTGGTTTTTTCCCCAAAGGGTTTTTCCAACAAGGTTTTTAATGAGGCATACACATATTACAAGTTCATGCTACAAGGAGTTGGTAACCACATTATATTGGATTCTACAAGAAATCTTGAAGTGATGCAGTCAACAGGGGGAGTATATGCGCATTGCACTCTTTTTCCCTTGACCAAGGTTTTGTCCCACTGGGTTTTCCTCGTCAAGGTTTTTAACGAGGTAGCATTACCATAGCGTATAGAGATAATAATGTATAGCATCATATTTTTCTTGTAATGTTTTTATTATTAAGCAATGTACATCCAAGGGGGAGTGTTATGTATTATGGATGTCCATTAGTTCATAGCCTGAGCCCATATGTACAGGCCCATCTGAGGATTGTAACCCTAGCTCCCCTCCTATATATACATCCCCATATATGAATGAAAGTATGCTTTTGATCTGGTTTATTACAACCTACTCAATCTATTTGAGCAAAATAATAAATACTCCGTACAATCTTCTTCCCTGTAAACTTTTTGCTACCAGACCATGCTTTGACACTAACAAAAGCACATTGTAATCTTCTTTGGATACAGGAACATGACACGTTGGACAAAAAGTACGTATTAAGTGACACTAACATTAGGGGTGTTTGGTTCATTAGAACATTAGAATATGGTGTGGTTATCAAAAGTGAGTTTATATGAATAAGGGAAAATTGTTAAATATGTCCTCGAACTTTCATAAAAGGTCAAATAAGTCATTATATAGGAGGCTTTGTCCGGTCGTCACAATTTGGGATGGTTCCCGGTGGAATTTTTTAATGAATTTTTTTAGCATCTTATTCAACAAGTCTAGTTTACTCATATCAAATTTCAGCTAAAACTTCAATCGGGAACGCATTCAAATTAATTCTTGAAGATAACTATGCATTAATTTGAATGCGTTCCCGATTGAAGTTTTAGCTGAAATTTGGTATGAGTAAACTAGACTTGATGAATAAGATGCTCAAATAACTTCATCAAACAATTCCACCGCGAACCGCCCCAAATCGCGACGACCGGACAGAGCCTCCTATATAAGGACTTATTTGACCTTTTTATGAAAGTTCGAGGACCTATTTGACAGTTTTCCCCATGAATAATATTGGATCAAAAATAAGAATAAAGTAAGACAGATTTAGAAGCACACAAATTTTATCAAATTTGATATGAGACAATCTTAGTGAGACCGGGTCAGAGATTATGTGGACCCGATCTGGAACCAGGTCCACTTAGGGGTGGACCCAATCTGGAACCATGTCCGTTACTATTTGAGACTGGACCGAGTTCGTTTTTTCGATCCAGATTCAAGATTGTGTACCTGACCGAGTAACGGGCCCAGTCTCAGGTTTGAATTTTGGGGGCCGAACCAGGCGGTTCAGAATCCAGTTCCAGTCCCGACTTGACCAAATTTCTTTTTTCCTTGAAAAAAAATTTAACCATATCAAAAAATATAACCATATCGGGTCTAGTCCAGGATCGGAACCCGCCCAGATCCAAATTTAACTGGGTCAGACTTGGGCTTCCCCTAGCTCCACTCTTAGTGTTGAGTTTAATCTAACACGAAATAGTAAATATAGATATAAATGTGTATGAACTCTCTGTTTTTACGTGGAAACCCGAAAGGGAGAAAACCATGAGACATTTTGGGCTAATGTTCAACCCACTCTCATTTTATTAATACTCTCATCACCATTTACATAGTACAAAAGCTCTCATAAATGGAGTTATTGGGCTATTCTAGAGAGAGGGGGCCATTAGAGAAGAAAAAAAGGGATCCTACTAAGGAGGGAAACTCTTGTATTTATACGGGGAATGGAAAAGGGGTGCAAAGCCACCCTAATGGGCCAAATGAACCCAGAGGGCCTAAACAGGTCTGATAGGCTGAAATGGGCCTCATCATTCGGGTTCCGTACCAGAGCGATGCCTTGAGCTCATGAACAGTAGTAGGCCGGGATAATATTTGAAACCCTTTTGAAACTCGAGATCTTCAGGAATAGATCTCTTAGTTTTATAAACATTTTCTCCCTTTAAAATTTTTTAAACCATTTTGTAGTTTTACAATTTCATCTATGCTTAACCATTTATTAAAGGAAAATTGTTCTAAATAGGAGTAAACATGTTTTAGAATTCCAAAAAGAACTACTACGTACTATATTTTTCTTCTCGAAATACTAGTGGTTACTATCATGATTAAAGTTATTGTCATGATTGAAAAATAATGTCATTAATGATAGTAAATATTATCATGTGTAATGTCTAGTACTGCAACTATTCGTCAATAATGACTACAAGATGACAATAAATAATGTCTTGTAACTCCTATTTCAGGAAGAAAAACATAATAATCCTATTTTGAAATTCCAAAACTTATTTACTCCTATTTCGGGAGCTTTCCCTTTATGAACCAAACAAAAATTATTTATTAAACCCCAACAAAACTTGTATAAAATTGTCGACATTTACAAAGCAACTACAATTATGTTTAGGAAGAAAAAAATATATTAGTAGTACTTCAAGAAAAATGGTGGACAAAAATGTAACTTTATAACTTTTTATTTGGTTATACTTAGTTTGAATGTTTGGTATAGTTTGAGATTAAATATATATAAGGGAAAAGGGTCAAATTAATAAGCCCTTAATTATATAGGAGGTTTTGTTCGCCCGTCGCCATTTGGGGCAGTTCCTGATGGAATTTTTTGATAAAATTTTTTGAGCATCTTATTCATTAAGTCTAGTTTACTCATATCAAATTTCAGCTAATAATTCAATCGGGAAGGCATTCAAATGAATACTTGAAGATAACTGCGCTTTTAACTGCACAGTTATCTTCAAGAATTCATTTGAATGCTTTCCCAATTGAAGTTTGAGTTGAAATTTAGTATGAGTAAACTAGACTTAATGAATAAGATGCTCAAAACATTTCATCAAAAAATTCCCCAGGGAACCGCCCTAAATGGCGACGGTCGGACAGAGCCTCCTATATAAGGGCTTATTTGACTTTTTTATGTAAGTTCGAGAACCTATCTAACCTTTTACCCTGTAATTAATTTTTGTTTGAATTGCACTAATTTGGTCTGATATGACTATATGAGGCTCTAGGGCATGAGTAGCAATTTAAATTCAACAACTCTCGTGGGACGTGGATTGGGTAAAATTCATCCCATCTTAAAATATAATGTTACATCCGATCCTTAAAATTTTGTCAACTTTTCTTAATAGTAACTTTAACATCATAGTAACTTTAACACGATTATAGTTACCAATAGTCACTAAGACACAGTTTTGTCCACAACTTTTTTATTAGTAATATTTTACAAAAACTTTTGCTTTTATTTAGTAAAAGATGACACCCCATCCCTGAGGGCCCCCAACACCGACCGGACGACACGATGAGAGGATGTAAATTGGACTATAATCACAATCTGACAGATAGAGAGTGAGGCTCTGTCCCCGGTACTTGCAGAAGCCCTATGCATTTTTCAGCATAGTAACCCCTCATCGCAGTTGCCGGGATTCAAACCCGAGACCTAACCCTTGTGTCACTCCCTCGCTACCAGTTGAGTTACGCCCACCGGTTTTTGGTTTTATTTAGTGTTTTGCGAGGATGTTGATTAACATTGACCGATATGATTTTACAGATTTTGTGTTTTTGGAAACTAAAAATGTAAAAATCGGGAAACGTTGAGTTTCATTTTTTGTTGATCTTCTTCAATTTAACATACATAGTACATTTATGACCACCATTAAGATAATTATACAACCTATAACATCAGTGTATATATTTTGAAAGAACATCAGTATATCTTTTAAATTTTAAAACCAGAATTCAAAAACAAACTGAGCGACATAAAACGAGCCATTAATAATTGGAATGAAATTTAGTTGTGAAGGATGTTTTCTTTTGGACTAAAATTTGCTGGTCTGGTCTGTTTAAGTCTGTTCTGGTCTGGTCTTGTAAACGTCTGGTCTCTTTGTATTTTATAATTGTCCAGTTCTGGTCTGGTCTGTTTAAGTCTGGTCTGGTCTGGGACTGAAAATAGTCTAAAAGAAAACATCCTAAAACAACGCTTATTAGGCACTGAACTATCGTCGGAGCATAGAATCATACGGAATAATAATATTTATGATAGAGATATGATACAGAAAGAGTAAGAAAAGGAGTGAAGTTTTTATTAATTAAACTCGCATAATAATTCAACCTCTAAGTATGAAAAGGTGGGTATGAAGTGAGTTATAGACACTAGGAATAAGGAGGGCATATGTATGCATAGGCCGATATATACACAAGTCAGGCACAGTGAACTCTTCTCTACTCAAAATCTCCTATACATACATTTTAATGCAGTTCTCATCCACTGTAAGGTTACAACAACAGTTCAGATTGATTAAGAAGATGAAAAAGATTGGTTTAACTCAATCTGGACATTCCTTGTAAACGTGGGAGTTACTATCGAAGCTCCGGTATGTCACAATCACGTAGACGGTAGATCATCGTAGATACGGATGCATGTGAACTACCATGACCCCCTTGCTTCGCCAAATATATGTGTGATATAACTAAACTGTCATAATTCAAGAAGCATTCAAATACCTGTTAAGCTTGTTACCTTCAAAATTTCAGGGTGGGTGTTGTTTCCTTTTACACTGCAAAAACCTTAAGAGTGTGATGGGGGTTAGTCAGCTAGTCGCCACAACATAAAGCACGCTTTTTCTCTTGTAGCTTCTGCCATAAACACAGCATCTCTCTAGGATCTTGATAGTGCGCAATAACAAAACCGTCTTTGCAGCCTTCGTTAAAAATTCTCTCTTCATTCTCATACCTAACTTCCAGACCTTTCTTCTTCAGTTCGGCTATCCAGATCCCCATAGCAACATCTTCAAGCTTAAACATCTGCATTTTGACGTTTTCTTAACATTTAAACTTACCATTTCAATATACAGTTACCTACATATAGAAGTTTCAGCCAAAAGTAAAGTCAGTGTGATGTTGGTGAAATTAAGAGATACAGATTGGTTGCTTCCCGCACCTTTAGAAGCCCTTTCTTGTGCATCATGCTGACGGATTTTGCTATATCACTTGACACAACATAGCCAGGTCCATGTGCCCAAGGAGGATAAGCATCATCAGGCCATTCCTTGAAAAACATTAGATAATCGGTGCATATATAAGATTATAAATAAAATAAGAAATGAAAATAGCAAATAGTATTACCAAGAGTGTTATGCCAAAATCCAATCAAGCCACCAGGGCAAGAAATGACTAGTAAGTAATTAAACACTTCTTGGGGTTATCAAAAGACAAGCTTACAGAAAACCAACTGAGCATAAACCTAAGTGCCTTTGGTGACATATTTTTTTGTTTATGTGTTATGAGCCCAATTTTTGTGAAATACTAATTATTTGCTGCATGCTTGTGCTAAGCTGCTAACGGAATCAGGTGATAATGAAAAAAGTAATGCATTGTGTACATTTTTTTCTAGGGGGGAAGGGTGGAAACCCTTCTTCTTGTTTGGGAGTTACAAATTTGAATAGAGAGGGGCTGAGGATTTATAATTAAAATCACTTTAAAGATACGGCGAATATAAATAGTTGAATTTATATTCATTTTTAATTAGGTTGAAGTTATCACTTAATTATTTATCTTTCAAAATCCCCCAATTTGGGGGAACTTAAAAATTAGGCATTTGAAGGGTTTTGAAGGGTCACAAGAACCCTCCAAAACCATTCCTTTCAACTTTCTAAACTCCCAAACAAAATAGGAGAGGTCATAAACCCTCCCGACCCTTCTCCTCCCCTCCAAAGCACAACTCCCAAACATGCCCTTATGGTATGTTTGGGAGTTGAGTTTTGGAGGGGAGGGGAAGGTTGGGAGGGGTTTTTGACTCTCCTTTTCATGTTTGAGAGTTTAAAGAATTAGAGGGGATGGTTTTGGAAGGCTTTTGTAAATTGTAACCCTCCAAAACCCTTTAAATGCTCAATTTTCAAGTTCCCCCAATTTGAAGGATTTTGAAGGATAATTAACGAAGTGATAATTTAAGCTCAATTAAAAATGAATCAGTCCAATTATTTAGTAGCATCGGAACTTCACCGTTTCAACCATGCAATTGATCTTTAGAGATAAGACTGATGTAGAAAGTACCTCAGCACTAATGTACCACTTGCTATCATGATCTCGATGAGGATGGGAGTCTGAATTAATTAGGCCATAAAGCAATCCATGAGTCACACCAATCCTTTGTAGAGAAGCCAACACTTCATCTACACGAACAAAAGCATCATCATCTGTCTTCATGACAAATTTTGCTTGAACGATCTCCGTCTGCCAAATAAATTATGTCAACAAGAATTTTGAAAAGCTCCTTTACTCAGGGAGGGATATAATATTACCCCAAAGGTGCATATGGCAACCGTCTTCCATGTGATTAGGCTGTAGTAGTCAACAAATGGCACCAACTGAATGTCTCCATATGTCCTAGCCTCATTCCAGAGTTCCTCATTCACCATCTGGTTTTTATGCTAGTGGACCATACAAAAACATTATGGCTTTGATTTAGAAAATTCCAGTATAACTGCCAGTCACATTGCACCATGATGTTTATTCACATAAATGATAATACACTAACAGTAAATGGTCACATTTCCTCTTCTATGGAATATCTAAATTGCTTTTTCATTATATATGTGAAAGACACTGAATTTTTACTGACAATGAGCTTGGTAGCTAGTACTATTTATTGTGTATTATGACTTAGGAAGTTTGAATGTATTAGTAGTAATCGGCATCATCATCATCATCATCATCATCATCAACACCTTAATCCCAACTGGTTGGGATTGGTAGCATCAAGTTATGAATGATGCTACATGAGTACATAATCCCAACATGAGTACGAAAACTTTTTCACAAGTATACGAAGCCTGTGTAGTTTACCAATGATGTAGACTTTATTGAGATAGGTTAAACTCCCCCTCTGAGAGCCGTATATAAGTCTTTCATCTCGTACAGCTCAATATTAGTTTTGCTAAACGGCATTTGCAAAATGTTAGTTTTGCACTTAAAACGTTTACTAATTAATTGTATAATACTCGTATAAATTTATATGTAGTAAACTAATATCTTAAGGAGAAAAACATCATGCACACAAGAAGAGACGCTTACCATCCCAACAAAAAAACGAACTGCAACTTGTCCAGACCGTACTGCATCATACTGCATCCACGTTCTCCGAACTGACATCCTCCGCTTAAAATTGTTTGCAGTAGAAAACACACCAATAAAGAGATCTATGTGTTTATGTGGAGAAAGTGGGACCGCCTTCAGGGCTTCTAAGTCAATCATATGCTCTATATCTTCCGAAGTGGGTAATCCACTCGCAACAACTGATATTAATTCAATATCTCCTGAAATCCTCTCTTCACTTACAAGCCATGGCTCTAAAGTCTGAATGAATACACATCAAAAGAGAACTTAATCTAGCATAACACTGCATTAAACTGATGATTGTTCAATCATAAAAGGCAAGTGAGGAATTACTTCGCGAAATGAAAATGATGTTATGTGTCTACCGTCAACTGTCATTTGTATTCCTTCAGATCCGACTCTCAATGTCACAACAGAGAGTTGCCCTTGCTTGAAAGGAAAATACTTTCTCTGTTTAGATCCATCCTGAACCATTGAAGATTTTGTTGATATATTGATATGTCTGTCTGTCATGATTTTACCCACCACCTCATTGCATTGATCCAAGTCATCCACTAAATAATAAGATTCGTAGAGGCATTGAGTAAGACAGTATGCAAATCATTTTTAAAAAATACTTGATGCTTGCAAAAGATATTAAAAAACTGGGGGGCGGACTTAGCAAGCCAGAAAACGTTAAATAAGACTAGCAGTGCTAGAATATAAAATTGGGAAAGTTCCCGAGATAGGACTAAACAAGTTTTGGAATTCCAAAATAGGACTGCTATGTTTTTCTTCTCGAAATAGGAGTAACGTATCTACTATCATTAATGGCAGTATTTTTCAATCATGACAGTGACGACTCCTATTTCGTGAAGAAAAGCATAGCAGTCCTATTTTGGAATTCCAAAACCTGTTTACTCCTATTTAAGGAAATTTCCCTATAAAATTACATCCAACATAATATCATAAAGCAACTGGATCTCTCTAATTGGCCTATTGTCATGTAAGCCAAGTGGCACACTGAAGCTTACATTTTTCATAAGTTGGTGAAAGAGAAAAAACAAACATGCGAAAAACTTGAAAAGGCTAAAGATACCCAACCTACGAAATCTAAGAACCTGACTGCACCTTTCTCTACAAATACATACATTTTTCAAAATTAAGAACATATGCATCATTTAATATAAACATATCAACATTTAGTGAAACAATTGCAGCATGTTTGGTTGGGAGGAATTTAATTTCATTTCCCCCTAATTCCTAAAACATACCCATGTTTATTTTGCAGTTATTAATTTCCACAGATTTCAAATTCCATAAGTTTGGAAATTAAAGTATTTGATCCACCAAGGCATTTACAACTCAACAGAAATTGTGAATATTTCGGACATGTTTGCCACAAGCAATATTGACTAATCACACACACGTATGACATATACATCCTAACATATCCTAGCCAAATTTTTACTAGGTTTTAGTATCAAAGTGGTAGCTTATCTTGGTGAAGCTGTATTTTTTCCATAACTAATGTACAAAAGAGCATCTTATATAATACATGAGAAGTTAATAAATATCTTAATGAAACATATATCAGGATTCTGGTTGATCAAGTTAGATTGAGCTTTGGTGATCACATATGTAAAAATATTATATTCCCACCGTCCCATAAAATTCTTCCCGGTTTGACTTGGATCAGAGTTTGAGAAAGTGGAATAAAGTGGAAATGTATGGTTGTGGTCGAGTAAGAAAAGGGTAAATGAATGTTAGCCACACAAAACTTTCCAAAAAGGGAAATGGAGAGAATTTTTTGGGACATTCCAAAATGGTGGTAGGTGGGAAGAATTTTATGGGACGGAGGGAGTAATACATACACTTTTTACTCATTTAAAATACATTCAATTTATATTATAGCCAATTAAATAATTTTTGGTATAGAGTAACTACATCCTTGTATATGTTATTCTAACTCAAATGCATAGTTAACCAAAAAACCTGTTAGTTTTAGAAGTCACCTATACAGCACAAGATCTACATAAATAATATTTGCTCAATCAAGGCAGCAATAAAAAAGATCAACAACAACAACATCCAAGCCTTAGTCCCAAAATATTTTTGGGGTTGGCTAACCATAAAAAAGATCAATTTGAAGAAAATTAATAGTAGTAATTTAGATCTATGCTTGTGACAAAAAATTGAAAATCAGAAGAAAACTGCTGAGAGCTGGTATCATCTAAGAGGTACAAATCCATGCATCCAGAAATTTAAAACTTAAAACAGAAAGGAAATTGAGTTACCCTTCTTATTCTTTTCAGGAGCAGTAGATGGACAACGTTCCTCCTCACCCCAATCATGTGCAATGGTCCAGGTGTTTTGAACAATTACAGGATCCTCTGTTACTTTATCCCCATGCATCCTAACATTGTAATGCAAAATTATAGGAGGATTGGGTTCCCCAGGAAGTGGTTCACCAGTTAAATCAATCCGAAAATTACCAAGAAGACCCTTTGGTATGCCGATAAATGTGATTGATGACCCCTGAGTAAGTCCACAAGGAAGCCGTAACTTAAACTCATCACCACCCATTTCTGTGACATTTGTTTTGCGAAGAAAATGAGGACACTGTTTTTCTTTCCCCCTCTTAGATGAACTATCATTTGCATGAAGTTTTTCCATTTCCACTGAACTCATAAGGCTGTTCCATGCAGCAACAGCTTCCTTAACAGCATCTAGAGCATTAGGTAGGACTTGACCTTGACTAATTAAGTATTTCAATTGGTTCCATGTAAGCAAAGATTGTTTCTCAGCAGTTGAAAAGTTTCTCTGGTAAAAAAGATCAGAGACTAATACTTTGGCAGATATCACTTGAGAAACACTTTTCACACTGTTAGCAGCAGGGGGAGCCATAGCATTTATCCACTCTAGAGGATTTGTCATATTGACATACTGGGTATTAGTGAAGTAGTTTTCCTTGAAGGGGTTTCTGATTACATAATACCCAATAAGCATAAACATTAAAAAGGAGGTAGTTAAAACACCACCATACCACTTCTTCATTTCTACTCAAAAACCTAGAAGCATCCAACCATTTAGATTCTAACTTGGCAACTCCAGATTTGGTGGACCAGAGAAGTCATTAGTACAAGAATGAATCCTGCAATAGTGATTAGTAAGTCCTCAATGGCTTTGTTCAATGTAATAACTAGGAATCGACATATTACCAAATGCATGTGTGAAGTAAAGGCAGTTAACAAAATAACAATCTAGTTTGTATAGTTAATGATCAGCCCATCCAGTCATGTTCTATGGTGCAAGTTGATATTGCGATATCAATCCATGATCTATCACCATGTCATGATCTTTTCTCAACGAGCTGATACAAAATTTCATGCCACTGATCCCAAAAGGTTGGGATTCGGTGATGATGGTGATAAATTTAAGACCCACCCAGAATCCACATTGAAGAAAACATAATGATTCAACTCAAATGATGAAAGAATGGTAGTATGCACTTTGTTGGTGATCGTTAGGACTAATTTGATAATATACTTTACCAGTATAAAATCAAAAAGCAAAAGATCCAACGCTTCTACTTTTGTAAAGAAAGTTGAAAGATGAATAGAAATGTATGTTTCCAATCCATGCTCAAGTTTTATTTCCAGCATGTCACTAAAATATTTTGGAAGGCGGCAGATATAGAAACAGAATACTGATGAGTTTCATGTGATAAAAGTCAAAGAAATGCGGTGGATATCTTTGAAATTACAATCAAACATGAAAACATCAGATAATAATAACTCAGCAACAATAATTTGGTATATTGAGTTATTGACATAATTGATTTCAACAAGGATGTATGCTAAGCGGTAAGTATCCTTGAGGCAGGAATTTAAGGGATGAACGGTACATATCAATAGGCTAACTCAGACAAGCAATACAAGATATAACACATTGGTGACATACACACACGAATAAAGATAATAAATAGGTGGCTTGGATCCCGTGGAGTGATTCCCATCCTTGGTATACAACCAACAGGAAAGACACACAGAGAAGTGCTAGACCAGTGTGCAATTTCATACCTCAATATAATCTACAACACATAATCAAAGATGGAAGCAAACAAACCAAATCTCTCTGATAAGAGCAAAAATTAAGCCATATGAACGAGAGTAAACCAGAGAGAGAACTCTACCTTCAAAATCACTTCATATAGATCATCAAAGATTCAGAATCTAAGAAAAAATTGTTCTAAGATAATTAAAAAAAATAAGCCATTTAAATATAAAATATTTTCAATTTTCCGCAGCTCTGACCAGACTAGTCAAAAAAATTCAACCATCACACTCACGATTGCACATTTTTCGCTCTAGCTTTTGTATAACTCGTGAAAACTCTAAATATTGCAGTCCAACCAACAAATGGAAGGAATATAAAACAAAGTTTCCTTTTAAAGCTTGAAAATCACACTGAACTTGGAAGGGATACAGAATGGCGAAAAAATGAAGTAATCACTGAAACTAACAGTTTAACGGTGTAAATGAAGTGACGAAGAAACATAAGCAAACCTTTTTGCCTATTGGGGAGGAAAAACTGGTCAGAATCGAGACGGAGGAGCAAAATATACATGTGTTATGTCCCCAGCAAGCTTGACTGGACTTGAAGTCTACGCTGAGTTGAATCTGAAGCGCATTAAGGAATCTGAAAATCCGAAAGGCTGAAGAGGAAGGAAAGGAAACCGCTATTGAAGGTGCATTAGACGGCAAAGTGAAAAAAAGTGGACGACTGCAAAAAAGCTTCAAGTCTACACTTGGACTAAAAACAAATCATCTTTACCAAATATCTTAAACAAATGGTCCTGAATTGGAGTTCGTTGTATCTTTTCCAAATAGAAATAATTACTTTTATGGATTGAAAAATATATTATAGTAATGATAGTAATTACTGTTATTTTAATGTCTAATACTACGGTTAAAAGTATTATTTTCGAATTTCAGAACTATTTACTCTTATTTCGTGAACTTTCTAGATATTTTATGTTTGGAGTTTTGGGGATCGAAATAGGAGGAAAAATTGTACTCTTTATGTCCTATTTTACTTGCTTTGGCATTTTTCTTTATTCAAAGAGAAATCAAAGATTTGATTTGATTTTATCATTTTATCTAATTCTTTTATAGCTTCACGAAAAAGATAACCACCCTCATTTATTTATCATTAAAACATGAAATAACATGTGTTGTACTTTGGTAAGACTTCATTGTCCAGAAAAATGACAAGAATAGATCTCACTTTAATTTTAAAATATTGTTTCTCTAATACTTTCTGGGTCTATTTGGTCATTTGATATGCTATACCAAGAAATTGAGAAGACAAAAATTGATAGTTTGGGTGGAAAGGAAAAATTCGAAGGAGTTATTTAATCCAATTAAAAGAGTAAATGGGTGAAAAAAATCAAATAGAAATGCAAAAGTCTTATTTTGAGAAGGATAGTGAAATTTCTATTTGAGAAAAATTATTGGGGTTTTCTCAAAGATATTACTAAAATAAAAGTTTTACACAAATATGATTAATAATTAATAGAATTAATGTGATGGTAAAAAATTGAAAAAAAGTTACTATAATTATATTATTACTTTAGTCACTAGTCACTAGTAGCGGACTTGAAATTCTCATTTTGGGTGTTCAAACCCTTTTACAATTAAAACTTTAATGAACAGTATATAATTATATGAAATTTATTGGTGTATATGCTGACATTTTTAAAAGCTTTGAGTGTTCATGTGAACACTTTGGATCAATAGTAGCTCTACCCTGCTAGTCACTTCTTTGTAAACAAATTTTATTTTAATCATAAATATTTAATTATAATAAATTGTTATGTTCTACTCATGTTCCGATAATTTTATTATAAATTTATTCGAATCAAGTAAATTTAGATATTCTTATGCGCTTATTACTTATATACAGTGGAGGATCTAGGGGGGCAAGTGCCCCCGCTTCCGACCTGAACTTTAATATTATTACTTAGGATAAAAAACTTTTTATTTTTAAGCTAATTATAAAATATTTGTATATTCGGAATTCATGATAGACATCTGAGGAATTCATATAATAGACAAATCCCGATAATTGTGTTTAAACTAATTTTCGTAAGCTAAATTACGTAAAATATGATTTGTATATTCAGAAACAACAAATTAATCGGGATCCTGCAAGGATCAAAGAACAAATAAAGAATCAAGCAAGATGTGGCTCAAAGATATCAGTCTCATTCACCTAAATTAGCTTGCACATGTATTTTAGCATCTCCAATGCAAAAGTGTCAATGGTGCACGCGTGACGGGAGGGATGCATAAATAAAACTAATAGAAAGTTTTTCACTTTTTCCATGGTATAATGAACTTTTGCTTCTTTTAATTATATACAATGTCAAGCGGAGTGTCAAATCTAGACAATTTGATTGACATCGCGAATAAAAAATAACTAAAATTTGTGCACCGTGGAAATCATGTGTGACACTTTTTATTCATCAATTGCTTTATGCATGCATCTCTTTTGTCACATGTGCAACGTTGATACTTTTACACTGGGTCAGAGATGTTTTTAATTTTCCTTTATACGCCTTATGACTCATATTTTACTTTTGATAACGATATACACCACTTTATTTTCAAGTTTGGCATGCTTATATGTCTAATTTCATGCTCTCTTTTTTGTATATTTCTGTGTATTGGTGGTACATCACCAATTTGAGCTAACAGAACACAATATGTGAAATGTGAGTTAGAGCCACTTGGTAAGGCAGTTTTCGGCTAATGAGCCTAACCAATTTGTAAACCAAAAATTTAGTTTTTAATGTGATGTGTTGAACTCTCTAATAATTAAAGTATGTAATATTTATGTTGTTTTTATGACGAATTTATTGAAAATGCCTATGATACTATTTTATAATAGTCAGACCTTTATTTTATTAATAAAATTTATTATGAATATTTTTTATGACTAAGGAAATTCATCAGCCGTCAACGATGCACTGGTACTTCAATATGGTGATGCATGAGTGTATCCAATACATAATCAACTGTTTCTCCATGATTTCAGCAACTTTAGTCGATTAAGATGATTAATGAATTTCGATTTGATCAGACGTGATCTCGATTTTACTCTAGCTAGCTTGATGTAACCATTTTATATTTAATTCAGACAAGTTTTTCGGTATAGAATGAAAATTTCCCGAAATGAGAGTAACAATAATGTGATTTTTTCAATATATATAAATTACGTTATTCTAAAATCGTACTGTCATAATGTGACAATATAGGACATCAATGTGATAGTGTAAATGTCGTAATTGACTATATTTTTGAAACATGTCAGTATTAGTGCCTCAATTGACCACATTTTTCAAATATGACACTAGTTATTTATAAATAGGAAAAACAACAAATCCTAGCAAGTTCTAACATAAAAATTGTTACTACTATGTAAGACTAGTACGCTAGAGTTAATTGGTAGAAACGTAAAAATCACATTGATTTTACTTCTACATTGGAGAACAACATTAGCTTTCATGGCAATTTCAGATTAAAAACAATAGTATCCCGATGTTACGTCAGTGTTCGGTTGGTAGAAATGTAGAAACTTTATTGTACACTAGTCCTCTTTTTAAATTACATCCGTAACATTAATATCTTCTCATTTAAAAGTGGATGAGATTATGAATAGTGAAAGAAGATATAAATTATTGAGAACATGATGAGAATATAATGAAATAGTGTGCTGGAATGGAGGATAAATCGCAAAAAATAGTTGTCGTGTTGTATTATTTTCGAGATTGTTGAGCGTATGATGAGAAGATTTAGAAATGGAAAAATATGAATATAACGTTACGGTTGAAAAAAGAGAGTGGAAAGATATGAAGTTTACGAAGGGAGTCGTTTGTATCTTTTAGGCCTTTTGGCCTGTATATTGCTAAAATTAGGATAAAAGACTAAAAAGTGATCAGTTTGTAGAAATTCCAAAAATGTGATCATCATCACAATTAACCCCTGCAGTGCAAAGTGACTCCGGCCAAAGTGACTCCGTAACCACAGTGACTGCCCCACCGGCCACAGTGACTGCCCCACCGCCACAGTAACTGCCCCACCGGCCACAATGGCCGCCCACCGGTCACAGTGACTACCACCGTTGCCCCGAATAGTGACTATCATCGTCCTCCGGTCAGTGACTGAGACCACCACCGTCAGTGACTGCCCCCCCCCCCCCCCCCGGCTAGAGATTGTCGTCACAAGCGCAACTATACATCACCACCAGAGCCACCATCGGCCGTTGCCGCCGGCCACCACCCGTCGCCACCCCATAGTAACGAACCAGACACATCACCCTTGCACATCTCCTACTGCCACCACTGTCCAACGCCGCCGACCACCTCTGCCATTTTCGGGGTTCATCTCCGGCTTCCGGCCACCACCGCCCTTACCTAGCCCTCTCCCCAGCCGCCTTTACACTGCCAAACCTAACCCCATTCCAGATCTGCACCACCACCAATCGTTGCTAAACCACCAAATCTGGAATGTTAAAGATGGCGATGAAGCCCCCCAAATCGCATAGACTAAGAAGAAAAGGACGATGACGAAGGTGCTAATCACCTAACCCAGCCGCCACACCTCCTCCTTCAACTCACCTGGGACGTAGAATACCAGCGGAGACGGCAATATGGGATGCGGACAGAGGCGGCAACTTGAAGGTGGAGCCGGCGACCTAGGGTGATGGCGGTGCGATGATGTTCGATGGATGCTTCAATTCGCTAGAGGGAGGATGGAGCGAGGATGGCTCTGCGATGATGTGCGATGACGTTAGATGGAGAAGATGTGATGATGTGCGATGATGTTCGATGGAGAAGATGAGTTGCTTGGTTGGACACGGGTCACATTTTTGGAAAATGTAAAAGTTGTCTTTTTTTTGGAAATGAAAAGTCCAGTAGTGATAGATGGGCCATTTTTTCTATTTTTTATCAAAATTTGATCATTTTTTATGGGCCAAAACTATTGCAAAATGAAAAACTAGTTGCCTTATTAAGATTTTTAGACCTTTTTTAAGTATTACAATGAATTCATTACTTTACACAAACTAAACAAATTTAAACATTGTAAATGTTCTAATCAAGACAGAAATTAAATCCTTACAAAGATCAAAATAGGTGTAGTTTTGCTTTTATTTTATTATGGAGTATAACGAAGTACAACCGTATGAATTGGACAGTTTATATAAAAATTGCCCTAAATATGACCAAAAAATACAAGTCGTAACATACTGACGAAACCTTTAATTCAATTTGTTTATTAATATGAAGTATTAAAAATGCAATCAGTTATGTTTCCAATATAGTGATAAAAGAGTTTATAATTTATCAAGCAAAGACAATTATTTATTTAAAATAAACTAGGATGTAAGAAAGCAATTGGTAAAAGCGGATAATTGATGATGTAGGGATTAAAACCAATCTTGAATTACGTGCCTTATGTTTAGGCACCTTGTGTTTTGATGGCTTGTAATAAGGAACTTGAAAGTGAGGAGATGCGATGAATCCAAAAACGAAAATGATGAAATACAAGTGGTTGGATGGGGTACATATATATTATGTGTAAATTTTTTTAAATAAATAAATAAAAGGACAATTGTGTTATTAAAGAAAAAAGGTTGGTGCTTCCACCTTGTTTGGCAACTTTAAATCTTTATTTCCTCTGTCCCCGTACCAGCTCGTCTTTGTCAACTTTAATACTCCTTTAATACAACATATTTTGTTATTTAATGAGTCGTTAATTCTAAGAGTGATTTTAAG